GCTCTCATATTCCCTTTGTTAAAAAACTAAGCTCTATTTTCATTGTCTTATTTTCTGTTTGGTAAATATCATTTTCTCATGTCCCTTTTACAGCTGCCATGGAAACAAGCAAAAAATGCTTCAGATTAAATATTTTTAAATAGATCTTTTTTTTCCCTGATAGAAAATAGTACCAGTTTTCAAAATGTATATTGATATAGGAGCTGAAGGGAAATATGTTTGAGCAATGGACTAAAGGTGGCTTTGTATCCCCTTGTATTGATAAAAATATATTAAAAACACATTGCCATAGTTAAACCCTAGTAGTGACACTAGAAACAAAGCAAGCCAAGTACTATTTCTTTTGTGAAAAATGTCTAGTGTGAAGTGTTAAAGATCCTATGAAAATATTAAGACTGGCATATAAATAAAACAGGTTAAATCATAAATAATTTTGATACTTGGTAAATAAAGGCCTTATTTCCTCTCCTCCAATTGCAGGTACTTTTTATTGCAATTGCAAGAATATTATATTTTAGTGCTGAATCCAGAGCATCTCATTTTGCAGGTTGAGCCCTATAAAATGAATAATCTCCAACAAACGTACCCTAAGACTCACTGTTATTTATATGCAGGGAATGGTGGCTTATTTACCCAAACATTCGAGTGATCCAAAATGTTCAGCTAAGCAGGAACACAAAATATGATATTATATTATGTAAATGGGTTTGTGATACGCTCTGCTGGATAATAACTTCCAGATGTCTCCGTAGCCAGAGGCTGACGGATATCAAAGGCAGGTTGGCTGGGAGGGGAGACGAGCCAGCTGGCGAGACTGGCTACTGCTAAGTGTAGCGGAAGGTGAAAGCTGGTGCTCCTTCACACTCACTGGTTTTATTTGTGGACTAGTAAAAAGTCAGTGGCTCGCAGCCGTCTTGTCACGAGCAGGATGGGGCTTGAGGGGCTGTAGGGATCCCATGTGTCTTGTTCTGTCAGGGAATTATTTTTTGACCTCTTTTGTGAGCAGAGGTTGAGTTTAGTCTGAGTCTCCCAACAAATGAAAGGCTGGCGAGCCACAGACCAGCACTGACAGGAGCTTATAGACTGCCCAGGTGGCAATTCTGACTTAGCCTTTATTGCCGGTGCCAAGTGCAGACAGGGAATGTTCCTGAGCTCTCAAGAATCGTGGTGTAAGTGGAATTAGTTGAAGCACAACTACAATCCCACCAGTTTGGAGGAAGGTTTCCTAAATCTGGTTGAAGTCTGACAGCCCCTTGGGGGTTTAGCTCTGTGTCCTCTTCCGAACACAGCAGGTTGTATTCACCGTTGTTAAAGTTAATGCTAGACCGAAAAGGGACTGGAAATGACTCCTGTGAGATGGCACTGAAGTTACTGAGGTGGACTTCAGGACACCCCTACACCTTCTGTGGAGCAGCCTGTGAGAAGAAATTTCCTCTTCTTGCAGATTGCTTGCAGAATGTGGACTTTAAATAATACAGCCAGCCCAGCACACATTGCATCTCATCCTTGGCAAGCTCTGAAAGATTCTGCCCCAGTACGAACACCAAGGCATTAGATCCCACTGAATCCAAATTCTCCTAACAAGTTTATATCCCAGCATGGGCTTTTCTCCTGTTGTTTTTCTTCATCCCACACTTTTTAATTACTTTTTCTCCTTGATCTTAAAGGTTTTCATCTGTTATGGCTCTGCTGTGTTTCTCTAGCTTATCAGTGTCCTAAAGTGATAGACAGGCATAATTACTGAATTGCCTGACTATTTTGTATCCCCCTTTAATTATCTATGTATCACCAGAGACCACGCTCACATGTTCCATGTTTGGTGTTTGATCCTGTTCTAATGGATTATAAATGTCACCATGTAATGTTTGGAATGGAGAGTGGACTTCACTTTCCACTGGGCACATGTTCCATGGATGACCCGCTCAGACTGCACATGCCCATCCCCCTTGTGCCATATGTAGGAAGGGGATGGCACCTCACAAACACAACAGGAGGGAAACCACCCTAAAGCAGCAGCACTAGAGGTTCTCAACTTGATTATGGGAAGGACTATGGGCAGACTGTGTTCGGGTGGCACTGCAAAAGGTAGCGATAATATTTTATCTTTTCAAAATGTCTTGAAATTCCAGAAAGCATATGGCCTGTGAGGCCATGAGAGAAGGAGCAGTTGTTATCTCAGTGAACACTGTTACTCAGCAAAACCAGGATTGGAAGCTGTATTTTAGAATTAATTGAATTTGGTGTCACATTGTGCTTTTGAGTTGAACTTTAGATTCTTGTAAACTTGAAAACACAGGAGAGTTTTCTGGGGCTCGCTGTTAGTCGATGCTGTTATTCCAGAGATGTTCTTGGATGTTTCAGTCAAAGATCTGAATAGTTCTGGCATTTATACTTACCAGACTTTGTTACTGCATTTGTCTCACAGCTTTTAAACAGCAGAAAACATGTACAACGTATTTAAACAACACCAGAGAAATTAAGGTCATGAGAATGCATTGTCAACAAATGAAGATAAAAAAGAGCTGTTGTTTTAAAAAAAAAAAATTGTTGTTGCAAGATGCTTTTGAAATTCTACATTTCAAATTCAGAGTCATGTTGATGATTTATTCTAATGTAGGAAAACATCATCAAGAGTGACAAGCAAGCTAGTCACTGTCTAGTCACCTGCCAGCAAGTATTTCATACAGACTAAAAAGGCTGGTATTTCCTTGCTGAGCTGACACTAATTATTTCAGTATACATGGAGCTTTGGGATTCATGTTAATTCTCAAGTCTGTCTTTAGTTCAGACTCATTCCACTGTGTAAACTCAGCAGAGCACAAATTATTTGACCATCCTTTCATAATCTGTCCCAATGCTCACTTGCCAATTATATAAACTGATCCAAATACCTGCTCTCAAAGGATCCTCATTTGGGAATCACAAGCCAATTAAAAAAATAGGGGATATCCACTTTTCTGTGACTCACGTCTCACAGTCCTGTTTCATGTTGACGTGCATTTCTGTGTGTCTTCTTTAGATAACATTGTTTTCATCAGATACCTTTCTGGTAATAACACCCTCTTTAGATGAAAACTCTATCACATATAACATATTGCATCCCCTAGGAAGGAGGAGGTCAGCAGTGCCTACAAGTATCCTGACTTTCCCAAGAAAGTCTCCCACTGCTGCATCGTGACTCTGTTTCTTTGTTCGTTACACACTTAAGTGAGTATTTTTAGAACAACTTCTAAATATTGAGCCGTGGTTCTGTGATTTTGCAGCAGCTTAGTGACAATGCTTGTTGAAAGAGTATAAACAACACTTAGGTGAAGAAAACCCCGCAGTCACCTTGGTGGCATGAGAGTGTGAGAGGACCTGAGAAACGTGCCCGTGTGTGTGACTGAAAAGACCCTACTTATCTGTTCTGTGAAAATTCAGCTCTGGAATGGGCTCATTTTTAAGGACTGCATAAAAATAGCTGCGTTTTTGCACAGATGCTTCCAGTCCTTGCAGCCAGTGGATGTCTGCCCTCCACAGGTAACAGAGATCAGAGCCACAATCAAGCTGTGACAATGGGCTGCTGGCTGCTGTGCCCAGCTCGCAGCGTCCAGAAGGGCCACACAGCTTTGGAGCCGCCTCTCAGTTCAGAAACTGTTTACCTTTCATATACTGTTTAGTTTTCATATACTATATAGTCTTGAGGTGAATTGCACTTCCAGATCAGGAATCGAAATGCACTAATAGATGGGTTTACACCAAACTCTAAGCCCCAAAGCAACGATTCCCACCGAAATCAGTGCCTACAGATAACTGTTTGTAGGGTGTTTGAGTTTGTATGTTTGGAGTGAGACAAGAAGTGAGTGTGGCTTAAAAGGGCAGGAGCCTCAGAAAATACTTTGATAGGTTTTCCCACACTGTTCTTGTGTTTGGGGGCATGGGATTTTGGGTTTGTGGGGGTTTTTTGAGAAAAAGAACTGAAAATTGTAAAATTCAGAGAACAGTATTCCCACTGGATCTTACCTCAAATGAAGAGAATGTGATTTGCAGTCTTTGTGATTTATGAAAGTTTAAACATTTTCTGGTGGGAGTGCAGGTCACCATATGGTAACAAGAGCTTTGCTAGTTATCTTTTCTGCAGACTTTCCACAAGTAATTGCTGAAATCCTAGAAGGCCATAGAGTATTTAAGTATTGGGACTGCATATCCTCTGAAGAGCCTTTCCAAATCTACATTTCATTGATTCATCGTTCTGTAAGGCAGAAATTTTTCTAGTAACAAGGCAGTCTCTCTAAGTCCAAACCAGGGTCTCAGCATTTCCATTTTTATGCCACAGCATTGTAACATTTCCAGTGCCAAAGTATGCCATGGGCAGAATCCATAATTGAAAAAAAAAATCACAAAGGAGGACTCAAAGGCATCCCAAATAATGAAAATTTACTGCCTGAAATGTGTTCCAGTTTGCAGGCAGTGTGGGGAGATGTGTATTTGGGATTTATGTTCAAAACCCAGCCCTTACAAAACGTGTCATGAAGCACTAAGAATCTGAACTAATGCACCTTTGCAGCCATGGGTCTGACTCTCCCTCTGGTTGGGGTTTGGTTGGATTGCAGAATACGTCTGCAGAGCCACAGATTGCAGGTTATTGTAGCCTTGCTTGTGCTCAGTGCCAGACTATAAAGCTGGACTCATGACATGGACTGTAAAGGGATCCTCTCCCTTTTTTTGTGTGTTCTGGTAGGTTGTGTTTATTAGAAACTTGCAGAAACCTCTTTACTCCAGTGTTCTGCTAAATCTCCCTGCAGCTGGTGTAATGAAGATGATACATTCTGGGAGGCATCTTGATTTGAGAGTGACAGCTCCATATATTTGTGAAAATGAAGTGGCAGCAGAGCTGCCAGCAAAGCATATTGTGCTTTGTTCCGTGTGGCCGTTTGCACGCAGGAAGCACCGCTGTTGGGACAAGTCCTAAGAAGTGAGGAAGAGGCTTAACTGGTTTTGCATTTTTGTTTCCAAAACAGCCAAAAGGCAGGAAGACACTGCCTGGAGACCTGGTGCAGCAGCAGAGTGACACTCTGCTCCCTTGGCGGCAGCATCAGAGCGCCAACGGCCTGCGGAGGCAGAAGAGGGACTGGGTCATCCCACCCATCAACGTGCCAGAAAACTCCAGAGGACCCTTTCCACAGCAGCTGGTTCGGGTGAGTTAAAATAAGAAACAGAAAGAGTAATAATAATGGTCATCTTGTAGTGGGTCCGGTGAAGCAGTAGGAGTGGTCCAAGTTTCTGGAGTGGGATGTCTGGCTCGAAGCACAGGCTCCCTCATGCAAGAACAGTTGCCTTTTACATGCTGCTGAAACCCATCTTTTCCGAAGCGCCTTGCCCCAGTTTCCCTCCCCAGCTGACGGCAGCCTAATCACCTCCTTCCAGCCAGTCCCTCAAGAGACTCTGGCATTGCTGCCAAGGTGGCCCTTTGCCCACTCTCTCATCCAGAAAACGGCTGCAGGTGTCAGGCTGGGTTGGTGGCACCCAGCGACGAGGGGTGCTGTGTCCTTCCCTTCCGATGCCGGGTGCAGATGTGTGGTGGCCTGGAGGAGGTTGGCTGCCTGCCCCCACTGCAGATGGATCCTGCATCCTCCCTGTGTTTCTGGTTTCTTTCTTCACAAGGATAATCTCTGAGATCAGGTTTACCCATGTGGTTTTCTGTGATGATTATGGGATGACAGGAAAAGAAAAAGAAGGGAAAAGGAGTGTTTTACAGAGACATTTGGTTGATATGTTATTGCTGTTGGTAAGTGTTAGCAAAATACAAATACATGTTGCTATTCCTCTTGTGGGTGCTGGTTTCAGTTTTTGGAGCAGTAGAGTGATTAGCTGTTAAAAAAAAAAAATTCCTTGGCAGACTCTTTAAGTTCTTCCCTTGGAAGAAAATGACAATTATAAAATTTCTGAAGTTATTTTGAGCAGCAGTGGTGTGTCCTTGGCATCCCTTCTCAGGAAGTTCATCTAGTCATCTTGAAACAGGGCCTGGATTCCCGAGTTGCATCATTACAGCCCATGTCTTGGAGGAAGGAAGGTACTTGCTGAGTCCTTTGGAAGTTCAGGTGAACTTCGCAGTGACTCATGCAATGACTGAAGGTGCATGTTCCCAGTTCACCAAGTATTGGGTAAACTCGGCTTGTTGGTGTCATTTCTTTGTGCAAAAAGGAATCAAAAGTAGCAGGTGATAAATGTTTTTATGTCTGTCCTAGAAAAACAGGGAGGGAAGCCAAGGAGTCTTTGTGTGGTCAGCAGTGCTGGGTATGCAGTGACCCATTAATGTGTTGTCCTACTAAGCGGAAGAAATATCTAAAGAGGAAAATAACCTGATATGTCAAAAATATCTTCTTAAATCACATGAAAAATTTAGATTAAATCCTGAATTCCTGTGAAAAATAAGGGGAGTACTTGAAAAATGAACTTGGGCCCTGTCCCATTCCCTGCTGATTTCTTTTGAGCTTTGACTAGACAGAGAGAGGACAACTTGGCACCGGCTTACCATGGCAAATTTGTTGATTTATAAGGACTGAAATCTCTGTGGCACTTTTCCCCCTACAGTCTGGAGATGAAACAGAAGGACTCGAGTATGCAAAATTCCAGTATTAATAAAAATGGCAAATAATAAATTTTATATAGCTACAGAAGAATTTATATTCATGACTTAAACTACGAGTAACCTTGGAAAGATAACCTGGCTGTGATGGAAACACAGAGCTCCCAGATTTTCAGCAATATATTCCATTGCAGTTTTTGAAAACAGAAGCTGGAGGAAACACTGAAACTGAAGTAAAAGTGGGGTGGAGAAAAAAAAAAAAAGAATTGGCTTACAAAGGGCTGCTTTCCTTTTCACCTGACATACAGAAAGCATCGTAATGACAGGGAAGATCATACAAAGAGTGCAACTTGATTAAGCGTGAGACCCCTGATGTTTTAGGCTCGGGTTGAGTTTCTGCTCATCTGCAGCATCTGGCCCGTTTGCCAGCGCCTGAACATGAAGCTTGGGTGATTCCTAGCAGGAGTTACAGCTTCCCCTGTGTCTTTAATTATCCAGAATAGGACAAATCAACGTCTTCAAAGACCAGCACTATCTGATTATTTCCATCCACATAATCTTCAGATTGCCCTGGAGCATTCTGCTGTCTCGTAGATCTAGGTAACAGTTTTGATCTGATTTCCTATGCTTTTGCTCACTGGGCGCTGAATATTTTTGTGTCCATCTGCTCACAAACTGGAACCAGAAGTGCACATGTGAAGTTGCAGCTCAGATCCCATTTGTACAGAAGCAGGTCTGTCACAGTTTTATCTGCTGCTTTATATAAAACACTCAAACCTGGAACCAGCAGGTTCTTGGACACTGACCTTTTTTTTCGGTCCAGAAAGCCCTGCCTGAGCTTACATTTTTTTAGGTATAACTAATGGAAACCAGTCCCTCTATAGTGCTATCTTTGGTTCTGGCTTCCTCCAAGGAGAGGAAGGGATGGCATGAAAAATCTGAACACTAAAAAACCAAAAAAACCCTACCAGAAGTACATTGTCATAGTACCACTTGCTGTTTGCGTTTTTATAGGTCAGACTAATTTGAAATGCATAGGCAAATCTTTCAGGTTCCCTCCTACTCCTGCTTCCTATTGTGAAGGTAAAAATTCCATTTTATGGAAGTTGATTAGTTACTTGTCAGTATTTTTAGCAAGGCTGTACCTGAATGAAGTTTAAATCATAGCAAAGGTGAATGTGGCTTGATGGGAGCCACATACCTCGAAAGGCAGCCCTATCTGGTTCAGCTGGGATCAACTATAATTCTCTGCTCATTAAACCATTTCATTCTGATAAAATACGTTAAATGAAAAGTTTTTAGGAAAAAAAAAAAGAAAAAAGGAACATTATCCCTGCCAAAAAAAACCCCTGTTAATTACAGGGTTTTTTCTTTCAAAGGAACATCCGTGTCTGTTCATATACATCAACCACACTAACTAGGAAGTGTATGTCAGAAAAATGATAGCTAAAAAAATAATAATAGGAATTTCTAATTAGTTTTGGCTGCTGAAAAGATTTAGTTACTCTTCGAAGAGTTTAAATAAACATCTGATATTTACAAGCTAAAAATATTTTCTATTAGTAAAAAAAATGTTTTGCAAATTTTGCTTTTGTCTTTTAGCTGAGAAAACAGTTATCAAATTTTATTGATATATGCTTATTTATTTTGCAAACATTCATGAAGGTCTTCTGTTTAATTTCCTTGTGCTTCACTTCCACCTTTGTATTAGGAATAATATTGTACATGCTGTGAAATATTTCTCTGTAGTGAGGATAATTTCATTACTAATTGTCAGGTACTCTCATTATTATAAGTATGAGGTCCATGAAAATGCCTATTAAAAATACAAAAACAATGTGAAATCCCCCTCCTTCTCCAAGCAAATGACTCATGCAGGCACACTGATCAACTAAGATAATATATTAAATAGTTGCCCCCTTGCTGAGCACTGTCTATTTTCTCACTGACTCATCCTTTTTAGCTACATGCATAGCTAATTCTTAATTATCTATTATCTAATTATCTATTAGCTTATCTTGTATTTCATCGTCTTTTGAACTTCAAAAAGAATCTCAGTTTTGCATCCATGTGCAAGTCTCTAACCGCTTCTAGTGGGGATCTTGAATCAGTTTTCAAGGCAAGTCTTGGACCATCTCAGTGGGCTGCATGAAAACAATTTGTTTTAAAAAAAGCAGTCTTGTGCAGGACTGGTCTGTGGTCATGCCATGCTTTAGGTAATGGGCTCTTCTATCAACCACTGCAACCATATTCACCTTCATGAGGGCTCCAAACTTCCAGTTCATCTCCAGGATCTTTATAGAGCTCTTAGGAGCCTCCTGTCTTGAACTTCATAGACTCTCATTTTTCCACCTTGCCTTCATTTAACTTGGAACTGAAAAATGTGGTATTTCCCCATTAGATCTCTTATGTTAAACAACTTGTTTATTCTCATTACACCAGCGTGAAAATCCACTGAGGATGACCGAGACAGGATCTTGGTGCTCTTACAAACCCCCTTGATTGCACGTTACAGGCACAGCGTGCGCTCTCACATCCGAGCGCTGGGGATCTCAGCCACAAGAATACTAGAAATAATCTAAGTGAGTAACAGGAAATAAGAGGGAAGGATGCATTTTATGTAAATTTAATCAGAAAGTCCTGAAGTAGTTTTTGGAAAGTTAGCAGAGTATAATATACCTGAAGACTCTTGCATTGCTTCTTAGTGAAGGTGTCGTCGGTAGGTCGGGTTTAGTGCAGCACGTTAGGAACCTGCTGCATGTTTTAAAGAAATTTCAAATGTACATGTCAAAAAATTAGCAAGGTGTCTTATTTCCCTTTTTCCATTCATTCTGTGAGTCATGAGCCAAGTCCTGGTTTGGTCACATGCACACACACACAGAGAAGAGATCAATACCAGAGCCAAGACTGTGGCAACATGTGCAGAGAGCTCCTTTTCACACACTAGAAAACCACCCCATGGGTGGGTTTAGCACATGTTAAGCTGTACTGTGACACTGAATACACTCTAGAGCTCCACAGCCCATCCTGGAGCAGGAAACCAGTGTAGTGAGACAGTTCTCCAAAAGTCTAAAATCCTGGCGTTGGAGAAACATAAGACATACTGAGCTGTGAAATCCCTGCCGGCTTGGACCATCAGCCCTCGATATTGCCATCTCCTTTGCTCATCAGGACTGGTTCAGCATGTGCTTTTGCACTTGTTTTAAATAGTTTTATTGTAGGAAATCCCTCATGCCTCCTCTATCACAGCGTTGCTCACTGCTGTGAAATTGGCAGTGCAGAATCCATTAGCTCCCAGCTGCAAGACAGATGGCATCTGTCTGTGGTGAGAGAAGGTTTGTTGAGAAAAGGCCTTGCAAATGCTTCCCAAAGGACATCAGACCTTACTTTTCCTGAGAGAGATGCAGACAGCCTTGATTACAAATAGGCCTAGATCTTCCTTGTTCTCCACAGGAACAGGTGTTTCTTTTGCCTTACCAAATACACTGCAGAGTTGAAAAAAATGGCTAGTTGTGGCTCTCAGTGCATCTCACCTTTGGTACCCGTGTGAGTATCACCAGCTGAAATTCAGAGATGAGGAGATTTTGTCTTTGTTGTGACACTTAGACT